CGTGGTGCTCTGACCACGAAGCACCTCACAGGGTGGGTAAAGGAAATGGGGAAGTCACTACAGTGTGACCCTGATGTCAAATCCTGCAGCTGTCAGAGCTGGATAACCGGAGCACAAGAACTTGGATTGGAAATTTCCCAGCAGAGAATCCCAGAATGGGTCAGGCTGAAGGGGAGCACAGTGGCTTATCTGGTTCCACCTCCCTACTCCAGCAGGGCCAACCCACAGCACGGGGCACAGGGCTGTGTCCACAGGGCTCTGGAATATCCCCAGTGAGAAAGACTCCACACCCTCTCTGGACAACCTGTTCAGGGCTTGCTCACTGCAGAGGAGAGAAGTTCTTCCTCATGTTCAGGTGGAACTTCCTGGCCATCAGTTTCTGGCCAGAACTGGACACGGTGCTCCAGATGTCACCAGGGCTGAGTAGAGGGGCAGGATCGCTCCCCACCCTGCTGGCAATGCTCTTCCTACTGCACCCCGAGATGCCCCCGGGCACTGCCAGCTCAGCACACCCGCTCTCGCGCAGCCCAGCACCCCCAGCTCACCTCCATGTGCCCGAAGCTCTGCACCAGCGGCACCACGTCCAGGCCCTGCTCCCGCGCCCAGCTCATCAGCGCCCGGAGCTCCACGGGGCTGCGGGACAGCGACACGTCAGTGCCCGCTGGGCACGGCCCCGGGGCACCTGCGGGTCCCCAGAGCTACCTGAGGGGTACACGGTGCTACCTGTAGGCGTGGGGGGCCTGCAGCAGCTCCAGCGACCCCGTGTACGGGAAGGTGTCCTCATATTCCAGCAGCAGCCCAGTGGCACCAAGGGTGCGGAGCAGCGGCAGCACCTGCGGGAGGGAGCAGGGGACACTGGGGATGCAGCTGGGTTGTGACCAGTGCCCCTGTCACCTGCACCAGGCATATCCGTCACCTGCCTCAGGTATATCCCTCACCTGAGCCAAATGAATCCTTCACCTGCACCAGGGACATCCTTCACCCACACCAAGTACACCCCTCACCTGAGTCCTGTACATCCCTTACTTGTGCCAGATACATCCTTCACCTCCCTCAGGTTCGCCCCTCACGAGCCCCAGGCCCACCCCTCACCCGCCCGTCACAACCCT